CTCCAATATAGAGCGTTTTTTTGTTGTGTGTATAAAATATCGTAATTTTGCAACGTTTTATTTACTCCTATCAATCCGCTACTTGAAAACAACTCTTTCTCTTTACAAAAAGAGAGAAAGCTATACTTTTTTTTTAAACTCCATTTACCTTCTTTCAAAGAAGAAGCTCCTTGCGGCCTTTGCTTGGGATCAAAGCAGATAAATGCCCGTTCGGAGAACGAGAGAATAATTTTTCCGAGTAAGATAAAAAAGAAGATAAATAAATAAACAAATAAACAAATAAGTAAATAAATAAAGCTTGAGCTTGTTATGATTTACTTGAAAGTTTTTTCGTTTTATGTTTTATTATTTTATTAAATAACTCATGAAATTATTTATATTAAAATTGGAAAAATGTTTAGAATGATTTTGAGATCAATATAATAACAAAGAAATATTATTGATTGGAATTTTTATTAATTAATAATTTTGAATAATATTAAACTAGAATTATTATTCCTTAGAAAAATGATAAATATAACTTTAGCATGTGAGTTAATCATTACTGAGACTATAAGCTGGAAACCTCTGTCAGAATATCTGATAACGTCTTTTTTAATATTTTCTGTTAATATTCGCACTGTATTTATACATAGTGCCCGGGAGTCATTCTATTTATGACCTTTGACTTCGCACAGCAAACAAAATAAAATGAAAAATTTAATAAATATGAATATAATCAGTATACACGGATAGTTTAATACAACTTTTTATTCAATATTATCAGGAATTTTTTGAAAAAAAAATCTATGTAAATAATATATAAAGAAGTATACAAATAGATGATATTAAAAGTCGATATAAAATATTTTTATTAAGTTTTAAATGACTACAGAGAAATAGACAGAGACATCAAGTAAGTTAGAGTGAAGGTTAGAAAAGAAAAGAGATCAGAGATTGATGTAGGAGTGGAAGAAGAGATCAAATAAAAAAAATGAAAATAAATTTAGTAGTACCGAAAGTTGTTTAATCAGTATTTACTTCAAACTATAAACATTTACTTGTGACGATGAACTCAAGAATTAGTGAAGAAATTTATTCTGATAACAGAAAATTTTAAGATGTAAATAAAATGAATTAAGTAATTTTTTGATATTAGTAAAAGAAAATTAGATATTCATTAAAATGAAAAAACACCTCGAAGGTTAAAGTTTCAATTAACAAAAAATAAAAACACTTTACTTAATTGATTATTTTTTATCTTCAATTACTTTTAAATAATTATTTAACGTACATTTAAATCACGTAATCTCTTGAATAACTGGATGTAATAATAATTAAGGTTATATGTGGTAACAAAAATAATATATTTTTTACATAGGATGAATTTTTTGTTTCAGGTGAGTAAATAGAAGTTATTTTGGAGCATGTTATTATGATAGCATAATAAGTAAGTATCTCTTTCTATATGAAAATGATTACAATGATTAGCAAGAGAGCTGGTAACAGTTTATGTTTTAATTTAGACAAGTTTCATTATTTCGCAATGGTAACAATTCCATTCTCACAACTCACAAACGTTTGGATGGCATTTGGTCGTTTTCAACTAAATACTTGTTAGCCCGATCTCTCCGTGAACTGTTGGGATTCCAAAAGCATTGTTACGCATACAATTGATGGATCGAATTCTAGCACGATATACAAACTTGTACGTAAAAGCGATCATTCAATCCCTTCTATACAACCAGTACCCCTTTCACATCACTTTCTATCTTGCTTCTCCTATTTCGTTCATACCCTCTGGCTAATCGGTCGCTCATCCGTTCGTACCTAATTAGCAATCCGTGGTATACATAATCCAGTTGGTGCATCGCACGTGCGAATTTACCGAATGTACTGACGATTATATTAAATCCGTAAACTCTCCTTTACAGATTGTACTATTTTTACTTTTATAATATTTCACTTACTTTGAATCTAAACATTTATTATTTTTTTATCTTGACACGTCAACTCGTGAACAAGATGCAAATTAATTGCGCAAATAATCTCCAGCTTGTGGGATCTTGTTATTGATAGACGAATAGGTTTTTTTCTGAATGACTGTATATTGTGGTTGCATTAGGGAGTTGATCAAGAGAGAATATGTTATTATATCCAACCATACGTCCACTCCTGTGAGATGTTATTACCTTCAGTTTCTCTATCTCAATAATTCCATCTCACTCTTATCGAGATAACTCACTTCGGGCGACCACGAAACGCCGGAATGACAACCCGAGATCGCACGTGCTTTGATTTTCTGTCATCTCACTCTTTCACCCTCAACGGTATTTCAAGTGTATAGTAGTCTTGATCATTATTATAATACTACTGTGCGGTAAATTTCTCATTTTTCATGTCCCAGTTGAATGCGTGTTACCGGAGCACGTGCAAGATGACTTGGAGACATATAAGAATGTTTATATATGTGTGTCATACTTGGGATAACTATAGAAATTTCGATTGGATGAACTTGGTAATAAGACACATGATGTATGTACGAAGTTTGCTATATAAGATACGAGAAAGCCAAGAGCGCAACAATCGCATGTTTAATTCTACTTAGATTGTAATAGACTAATTATATACGTGATATTTTGTTGGATTAAATTCTTTTTCTTTTCCTAGGAAATTATTTATACAATATACTTCCTATTTAGTGTTATCTAGATTTGATGATCTACAAGTATATATGTTGGTATTTTTTGTATACGTTAGTACTTTCGTGTGATTAATTTATGCGAAATAAAATTATTTACTTGAGTTATACGATACAACAAATAATATTTTTATCATAAAATTTTTAGCTTTTATTTTTACCATCACACAAAAAAGCAGTCTTTCAGAGATAAACAAATATATTACGAACCGCAGCATCAAAAGGATTTCTCATAGCGCCACTCAAAACGAATAATAACATTCCCCACACAAACGAGAATCCCTCCTCCCGATCGCAGTAATACAATTTACCCCGGGTGATGCGTCGGCGGTACATAAATTTTTATGGTGATCAGGTATGTACGCAAACGGTTGATGCATCCCTCTAGTCATCCTCCTCTTTTGCTACATTTCATCTAGCCCCATAGTCACCGTCGAATGTTGCCGTATGCATTAAGCATTGCCAGAGTAGTTGCAAAATAAAATAAGTAAAGCGAAACGAAGTGTGTTTTTCAGTATAAAGAAAGAGAATGATCGTAGCAACAGAGGTGAGAAAGAATAGAGATCGCTCTGGAAACGTGGTTAGAATCCAGTAAATCATTGGTTCATATTCACTTGTCTCTCTTTTTTTTTATCTTCACTTCTTACAACCCCTTTTTCCGCTTGTCTATATCCCTTTGTTACACATATGTCTATCATTTGTATACACATGTCAATCCAGAATATTTTTTCTTTTGTTTTGTGTTGTATTAAACTAGCCAATATTCGCTTTTTTACATTTGACACTTTTTAGATAAAAAAAAATCATAGCTGGTTTTATTTACCACGGAAAATGAGTAAATAGGATAAACAAACCAAAATACCCACAAAAAATATTTTCTAACATTTCAAATATTACAATCTTTTTTTCAATTGAACAAAAATTATTTTCACTCGTACATTTTTTATTTAAAATCTGAATTCATTTATTTTTCACCTATATTAAATAGGTTCATTAATTAATGTTTTACTTAATTTATAATAAAGAATTGGGTGATTATGATAGTCAAGATTGATCATTAATAGATCAATAAAAGACATTTATTATAAATAAATATTAGAAAATTTTTTGTTCCGTGTACTTCTCAACTTACTATAAATCGTTAGCAATTTTTTATTTTGTTTATTATATCATTATATATATATATCGATGACGCTATGTAAGAGTCTAGCAACTATTTAACAAGGATGATATAATGTCTGTATCGTTACAAGTATATAACTGAGGAAAGAGCTTTTTGTGAAAAATCAGCGTCAGCATATTCTCATATAAAACACTGAACAGCAAGGTTTTATGTCATTACAGGCGACATTTTTCCCTAGAGTCTGTGTACAAAAGATTTAATGTGAAGAATAAAAACATTTTTTTTTCATCATAATTTGATAGCTACAATAAAACTAGAGCAATTAAAAATTAATCTTAAACCAAATAAAGCTCATTGGTTTAATTGTTTATTTAATTCGTGATATAAATATATTTGTCCAGTTAGAAGAGGAAAGAAATCATAGAGAGGTCGTGTAGAATATTGTCCCAAAGCCATCATTTTATGCAAATAAAAACTATAAGACTATGCTTGATTTCCCTCGTGGTATTCATTCTGCAGAATAACGTGCAGGTCAGCTGGGGGAGCAGTGTCAAGTTGTTGATGGGAATAGAAAAGCAGAAGTCAACTAGTCTATTTTCAAATTTGTTTGTACAATTTTAATGACTCTTATAATCAATTCGTAACAAAAGATATTTTTAGTACTCTCTATATTATTTAATTACTTCATTAACTTTTTATCTTCTAACATTTATTCAAGAGGTTTTACAGTGTTTTGATTTGAAATCTATGAAATATTTGATAAGAAAAATGAACAATGTCACAGATGTATTGTGTATCGGAAATAATTTTACGGAACGACAGGGCCATCATCGGTTGTCCCATTGGAAATGATTATAACCTACCCGGATTATTGTCGACGCGGATTAAATCGTACGAGCATGGACACTACCAGAACATGCGTAATCCGTTTCTCCTTCCATTGTCATCCCTTTCGCATATTATCCCCTTCTACCTTGTTTTATCCTCCCGTTTTAAAGCTTATGATCGATACACTAGCTATTTAAATTTATAATCATCATATATTATTATGATTATGATGATTGTTATTATCATCATCACCATCAATATATTATAGAGTATAATAACATTCTCATTATTTTAATACTATCTTCTTTTAATCGGTTTTGTCGAAATTTTATTTGAAACAAAAATAAAAGAAAAAAAAAGAAAACTTACCCAGAGAAAAAAAATAAACCAAAAATAATTTCATTTTTACTATCACAATTTAATTGTTAAACATTGACTAAAAATATTCAATATGGATATTTAGTTTGATTGAGGTATGGAGCACTTTATTAGAACACACTGAGACCAACTTGGTGAATGTGAGGAGAACGTCAAAACTACATGAAAAGTTGATCACTAAAACAAGACCTAGGTCGTCTTGAAGAGCAACAGTGGGCCTTGTATTTCTCGGCCACTGTTTGCCTGCACACTTTACTCACCAAGAAAGTCTTCTGTAGTTGATGAGGAAGCAGAGGAGTAGGTTTTGAGGTAGTGAGGCCGAGAAAGGTGGAATGGAAAGGAAAGGAAAGGACGTTGAGTTGCAAGAAGCCCCACTTCTTTCACTCGTCATATTTATACATTAGTCTAGTGTATCCAATACATACAATATATAAAACACATCGTCTTTTGCGTCTATTATTTATTTGTGCTACACTTGAAAGATTTTATAGCAAAGGGGTTGGAAGAGAGGAGGGATATTATCGTTACGCGTCCTTCACTAAAAAGAGATATTTATTTATGCAGTGTTTCAACAGAATCTAATCACGTTAGTTAGCATTTTTTTAATTTCCTCTTAGCGAACGTTTCACTTTCAATTAAAATAAAATTTTTATGCGAGAATAATTTTTCTCACGGTCATGTAACATTTTTAGTTTTACGCCAGACTATGAATAACATTACCTTTAATGTTTCATTTAAGTATAATTATTTACAGAGGAAAAAAAAACTTTACTGTCATAGTTGTGGTAACAATTGTCATTTTTTACATTGTCGTCATGCTTCTGATTGTTTCCAGTTTTTTAGATTTCCAAAAATAGATCATTATTGAATCTTGACGTTAAATTAGTTGCATTTTTTCTTTAATACTTTTCTAAAAATAATTTTTTTTTTAAATTAAAAATCAACGTTTTATACTTCTTTCATTTACAAATTCTTCATTGTTAAATTCCTGAGACTCTTTGTTACATATTATGCGTTTTTGTTTTGTAACCCAATGTTATTATAAATGAGAAAGCGAAGCAAATAGCGGTCACCAGTTGTTTTCAATTCCCGTGAAAATTTTTCACATACATCAAACGATTATTGGTCGTTGTTGTTTACCATATAAGAAAGCTATGGAAATGTAACAATTCATAATTCCAAGGTACATAATACACCTATTGATTTCCGTCATAACTGTACAATAAAATTTTATTTTTCCTATACATTACAACTTTTTACATATAATTAAGTGTTAAAACATACATTTCAAAAGTTTACGCATTTCCATGCAACATAATTACGTGAGAATAACGTTAATTAAATTTGCCTATGAAAATTAATTGTAAATTTAATTTAATTTATTGTTCATTAAAGTATCTTAATTAATATGCAATATAAAAAACGTCACTTCTCGTTAATACCTTGGTGAAAAACAATTTTGTATAAAGATGCAATAGAGCAAGTCATCAAAAAAGAAGAAAAAAAAAGTAAGAAGCAAGTTAAAAGTATAAATTAAGTCTGCAGTGAGTTTCCTTTGAACGTTTTTACTGAGACTATTTAATTGAAGAATTATAGTGCTCAGTGAGGAAGTTCAGTTTACCCTTATACCATGATAGAATTTTAGTATTGATTTTATTTGTAATTGTAAATGTAACAGTTAATTGACATTTAATATTCCCTTGTTCTTGCATTATTCCAATAATATTGCAGCTGCTCCAGAATATAAAGTTGCTAATTTTATAAAATCACACGTTATTAGAAGATCGTGAAAAATGATGTAGGTTGATGTCTTGCTATTTTTATGTCTTCCAAACTTTCATTTGGTTCGTGTGCTTAAACATCGTAAATTATAATGCTTCATTAATTCTTGATTTTATCTAACATACGTGTACTTCCGTATACACCACACTATCCAGGAAAAGTGAAAGGATCAAATATCTTTGTTATTAATTTTGTTGAATTTCGATTTATTAACAATAAATTATAAATGATTGCGAGTTATATATTTAATCGTTATAATAAAATACAAGATTAAAAAGAGGTGAAGTGAGCACAGAAAGATTGCAGTTTAGGTAGAAAGTCTAGTCCAAACAATTTATTCCAGTGGGATTCATCTCTAGCATTTTATTTCTCTACATTTCTTCTTTGAGTATGCCGTCGGCTAAAATGAAACCGTTATGCCAGTGTAAAACGACGAATCGATAATACTGGAATGGGTGAAAAGACGTAATTATGTACAGAATCTTGTTGACTGGATTAACCTCTTAATTGCATCATGATCTAGATTTGATTCTGGTATTTTCTTTTACAATTTTATAAAAACGAGATTGACGATTGATGATATTTCCATGGCATGGATGAGAAAATTAAATGTCATTCTGGGTTCTTATTTTTAAATTAAAATTTAAAAATCTTGATAAAAAAGATGATTACATATCGATAATTGAGAGAGAGAATTTTTGCCAGTTTCTTGTCTTTGCTTATTAGTGTTGCCTTGTGATTTAGAATTACCTACATATTCATAAAATGTCGGATATAAATAACCTGAAAGTGAAAAATTAACGGGATTAGACATAATACGTGTAAAAGCATTTCATCATACGGATGGTAATTAACCTCGATTAGTACACGGAAAAAATATTTTACAAAAATACTTGTTCAAGTAATTGCAAAAAAAAAGAAAATCTCTTCAAATGAAAATTTTTAAATCAAACATTACCGTAATCATTAAAAAAATTTATTCTGAAATTTTTCTTTTGAGTGAACAGTGAAGTTTCTTGTAATTAAAAAAAATTGAAATAAAAAAAAATGGGAGGGGATTTGTTATTTACATGGATGATAAGTAGAAACATATCTTACGATAAAAAAAAAATCATCAGTAGAATTTAAAAAAATTTTGAATTCAGTATTTAAAGCTTCCTCTTTCGTCTTTCTCTACATTCTCTCTTTACAGTTATTCCCGCTACGTCCCCAGACTTGTCTCTCAAACTATGCCGTTTATCCGTAGTAAAATAAACGACCGTTTGTTCACGGTTCGCACGTGAGATAGATGCATTTTGGAGAACAACTCACGGCTTCAAGGTACGAAGAAATTCCTTGTAGTGTTGAAGAGCAGAGGTATGAGTGAGGTTGAGAGAAACGGACGTGATATGAAGAAAGCGCCCTCGTAAAGCGGAATAGTATAGAACGTGAACGCATTTTCGTAGATTCAGTTACTGAGAGACAAATTTCCACGCGTTACCCTCAAGTTTTTATCTCCTTTTGCTCTCTTTTTCACCCTGGAAATATTTACTCATCCATATTTTCTACATTATTCTATTGACATGGATAAAAGCAATTCAAAGCCATATAGTTTGATGATTTTATTTTGGAATTATCATTTGAAATGAAAATTATAGAGAATATTGTAGTAGTTTTGAGTGAAATTTTTTTATACATTATATTAAGGAACATTTTTTTTTTTGTGATGAATAAAAATTTTTTATGAACATTGCTTCTTTTCATAGAATATAATACAACTGTCTATTTATTCATTCTTATGACTTTTTTTGAAGCAAAAAAGAAGTTGAAACTTTTCAATATTAGATTAATAATTCGTACACTCATATACTTGAATTATAATGGAGAACTAAACTACTTTAGTGTAGCTAATAATCCTCTATTATTGTCCCCATATATAAATTCGGTCTCCCCGCGTCCTCAACTGTTTCACATATTCAGTCTATACTGTTCAATCAGAGTCTGGCTTATTGGCTTTTAATTGATTACAAATGACGGATTGATTGGCCAGGTTCTCGTAAACGTCACTGGTTTATACATATGTTTACATTAAAAAATGGATATATTTTTATTCTTCAATGATCGATAGAAAAAAATACTCTTGTCATTTAATTATAGATGATTTGTATTTTAATCAATCGATAATTAATTAATACAGTTGTTTGTCTTAATTCAATATTTTTTAACTAATTTTTTAATTTTCATTTATCTCAATGTCTTAAAAAAAATATTTATCTGATACTTGACCCAAGAATGTGCTGTAGAATTTTTATTTCATGAGTTTCTAAAGAGTTTGTGAGTTTCAGAAAGGCGATAGAAAAAATTCCTACGTTGTTCGACTACGTACTCGTCGATGCAATAAGTTTCGCGTTACATAGCTATAAAACAAATTATCGGCTTTCCAAGTCCTAATATAACTATACTCATTCGTAATAGTTTGTCAGATAAAGATAGACTTTTAACTAAAATAAACAGACTTTGATATTGATAAAATGAGTGTCTATAGATAGGAAAATATCGACTAAATTATGATCATTCTAATAAGGTAAAAACGAACATTGGAAAATAATGATTGAAACAAAAAATTAATAACTCTATTATTTATTTAATTCTACAGTTTACTAAATAAATTGCATTGCTCTTACATACATTAACTATCACTCTTGTATGCATAAAAATAAAAAGCTACCGTATAATTTACCGTACTTTGAGCTCAATAAATCGAACTAATAGCTGCTAAAATTACATCTTTGAATTCCAATTAAAGATGGATAGTGATCTGACAAGAAAAAAATCGTCACAATTGGTGGGAATCAATTTATTTTAAAATATTTTACACAAAATATTTTTAGGATCGATTGAGAGTTTATTACAAATTGATGATAAGTAGATGAATTGAATCGGACATTTGAAACTAAACTGGTACAATAAATCCTAATTAAAAATTTCACTTGATGAAAATCAAATTAATTTATAAACCACGAATTTATTCACTTAATAAAAATGAAAATTTATCTCCCATGAGGAATCAATTAGAGTAAAACAATTTAATTTACGCATACCACAAAACGGAGCACGCGCACGTTTTAGCCAATTGGAAGAGGGTAAACATAAAAGAGAAGAGATGTTGGAGGATGCAATAGAAAGAAAAGAGAATTTGATAGAATCAGCCATCGATCGATTATTCATCGACGTCGAATTGTCAGATGAGCCTACAAAGTTTTAAGCAAAATCTGATGCCCAGTGATGAATATAAGTAAAAGAGACATGATAAGAGGAAAAAAGAATCAACTGGAAATGACAGGAGTTGAGCTGATCAGAGATTTTCTTGATCAAGTCATCAAAGGTTAAACAATGGTCAAACTTTAAACGATAACTAGAATGAAACCAAAAAAATAAATATACACATGATTCCTGTGTGTACCTGATGCTTCTGTTAACTGAATATCAGACTAATATCTC